AGAAGTTCAGCTAGTTCTCATCAAATCAGGGTTTTCTGCAGATTTAACAGCCAGTTTACATTTTTCTCTCTGGTCTGATCCCTTCCTGGTTCCCCACTACCTCACTCACCTGGTCTTCCTTCTGACATTATCTACATGCATGATTACATAATTGTCTGCTTGGGCAGCTGTGAAAAGACAAGGACAGCCTCATCTGCAGTGGTTACATGTATCAAGAGACTCAAGAAGCGGCGAACCTGAGTGTCTAAATTAACCCGTGTATGTTTAAACTCATCATTTTATATGTAGGCCGAGTCACTGATGTCCAGAGAACATGACGCAACTTCTCCTCAGGGCTGTTACGGGGAGTGCATCCATACCTGCAACACCGCCTCCATGTTCAAAAATATTGTTGATGGTAGGCACCTGGGCCTGGAAACAGTAGGTGATACTTTATTTCATTTTCAGTAAAAAGAAAACATAYRGAAACCGTCCGGTGACTGTGTGTGRCCATGAGTTAACTCGTGGTCATAGGATAGTGAATGTGTGGCCATGAGGGAATTATTGCAGTCATTTCCATKCATTGTATCCTTCATCTAATAGACACAGGTGACTGGAGCTTTATTTGTCCAAAAACCTTTTTTTTCCTAAGCCCTTCACTCAAAACAGGCTCCTCTCTCACTCTGTACCTTTACTGTTGGAGTCTGAGTTTTGTTCTATTCAGGTCAGGAACACAGCAAAAATAAATAAATAAAAAGGTTTCCTGACACACACCAAGGGTGTTCATTGTCATCTCATAAATACTATGAAAAATGAACTATTTCGATAATAAACTATTTAAATAAACATATAACAATAATAGTAATACGTGTGAGGTTTGAACAATTAAACACCTAAATAGCGTAGCAGGCACAACAATATAAACTGACTTCAACCATGTCTGCATCTCTCACAAAGAAACATGACTGCTCAAAATGATCTTGTGGCCAGACGTTATTATCTTCTGTCCATGTTATCACCTCGTGGCCCAGCATTCTCTCATGGCCACGCGTTGCCTAGTGGCCACATGCTATTTAACTCGTGGACACATGTTATCACATGGCCATATGTTATCTTGTGGCCACGCAGGCGCCACAGGTACTTGCCAATTTGTGGAACTTCTTATGTTGTTGTTTAAAACAGAACAAGATATTTTACAACTACAGACAGGAGTAGACGTTAAAAATATGCGAGCGCCCCCTATTGGCTGCATGCAGCACAATATTTTGAGTCCACACTTGTCCTCTGATATCCATGAAATTGTGCATAATTGTAAATTTAAGCTTTAACCAAATTTTCTACAAATGTTTTTTATTTCAACATAAAAGTGCAAAACTCACAGTGGGGGTAATGCCTTCCTTAAATGAATGCTAGGTCTTTAATTTTCATTTTTGTGTCTAAAACATCTCACATTTAGTCTCAAATTTTTATCTTTCCTCTTAAAAAAACTAATTTTTGTTGTTTTTTTTCTGTTCCGACGGGGAAGGGGTGGTTATATAAACTTGTTGTCGTCATTATGATCTGACTTTGGCTCAGGCTCTGCTGCACACTCCTGTCAGGAAGCAGACACAAAACAACCATATGGTTGAACCACTTTACATTTTACATTTATCAAAAACATGTGCTCTGCTTCTATACTGTAACGTCTGCGTGTCTCGGATTACTTTTATTCCTGTATCTCCATGTCAAATCTCCTCTCTGCTCATCTCAGGAGCTTATCAAACACGGCTCGAACATCATCGATCTGAAACCACAAGCCCATTCTTCTGCTTTCGCACTGCATTTGCATAACTGCACTTCTCTCTCTCTCTCTTTTCTGCTCTGTGCATGACTGTATGTCTTTGTGTGGCTGAATATGTTTGTTGTACGTAACAGAGCTCACGTTTCAAGCTGCTGCTGTTGTGTTTGCATGTTGATTGACACGTACAGCAGCAGCCCTCACASCACTGGGGCAGATGTTTTTTATTTATTTTTTTACACTGTACTCTGCTGTRTAATTGACTTTTTGATGTGAGTGGGAACAAAATCAGTTATATAAGATGCTTGCATTGTGTCTTTTTATGCTAAAATGAGAAGGCTACAGAAAACTAGTGATGGAATACATATCTGATAGCATTGAGTGTTAATGTTTTAAATAAAGGTTTATTGCTGTCAGTTAGCACTGAGTATGTGCTGGGAATGACTCACAACTACTACCAAACACAGTTTTAGCTCAGTATCTGTAAATTTGWCCATGTCACTAACAAATTTCCATTATTCAGCTCACTTTCTGRGTGTAAAATCCTAAAAATTAACACTAACATCTTATTGTCATTTAACTCAGTGTTCTTACATTTTGATCATTTTTAATTTAATGTTAAATGTACATGTGGAAATCTAAATGTAAAAATTATATCCTAAATGTTGCAGCTAAATTTTAAAGTGTACATTTAAGAATGTTGGAATGGAATGCAGCCTTTGGTCTGCAGCTTTTGTTATGATGTTGTGAGCACGTTTGTACATTTGTGATAAGGCCGAAGCTTGAGTTGAGAAATATATGTTTCAGCTACACAGCAGAACATCTATCTATCACTAACATCACCTATTCTCATATCATTTACTGATATCTGATGGGACCTTTGCATCAGTCATACTGTTTTAGCTTCAGAGTATTTGTTATTTCTATTTACACTGTTGCTATTATAGATGCTAAAGAATGCTCATT